CCCCAAAACCCCAAAACCCCAAAACCCCTAGATAAAGGCCCAAGACTGGAACTTAAATAATAAATAAGAATACTTCTCTAAAATGAACAGCATCCCAGAATTTACATTTGAGTACAATCAAGGATTTCCACAGTGGGATTTCAGCATTAATCAAGTAAGGACAGAGGGTCTTAAATTTAGAGTGAACTGTCCAGGTTTAATGAAGAATACGGCACTTTAGACCTTAGTCCTAGCGATGATTCTCAGAAGAAGATGTTTAATGTACAGACTTTGACAGGTGCTGGCTCTCCACAGTTAATTAAATCTCCACCTAAGAAAAGTTATTCCTTAAGAAAATAACCCGAAAAGAAGGATGCAATGCTTCTTAGGGAAGTCTTCCTTGAAGCTAAGACAAACTCTCGACCCATCCCTCTTCAATTCTAAAAGAGGCAAGTACTCATCAAGGAAAGATATTGTTTTGAAGGCAGTCTTGAGGGCAATAAGAAGATTCTACATGAACATTTTTAGATCTAGATATTCGCCTCTGTTCCTAAGAAAGCTTTCAAAAGCTCCAGACTCAGAAGTCTCTAGAGCAGTCTATGAGATGTGAGTTGAGCTATTCTCGGATGAAGTTGTCATGAAATATAAGCTTCATGTTTTCATGCAGGCTATGCTTAATCTGAAGCCTCTGGCAGACAGGCAGGAATCGAGTCAAGAATTCAAAAGCGCTAGCAAAGTTCTGAAATGCTGCAAGAGTTTTTCCTCAAGTGCTTTCAACCAGGTTTGCGAAGACCCATGATTCCAGAAAATTTGTCGAAAAATCCAGGTCGATTTCGAGGAAGAATTCCTAGCCACTCTCAAAAACAAGGAACAAAACTTCGAAAAATATAGAAATATCCTTTATAGTCTTTGTGAATAATAAATTTGCTGCTAAAATATTGATTGAAATTTTCTGTGAAGCTCAATTTTGTACTAAATCGGATAGGTATTCGAGTATAAAATTCCAGATTTTTAGCTATAGCTGACTCTCCTGAAGCTATTAGTCTTAGAATTGGCCATACCATGTAATCCGGCAATTATATAATCTTAATTATAAAATTTCCAAGAGGTTATAACATAGGGTTATTAAAGTTAGGTGACAAATTCAGAAGACCTTATTTTCATACTATCTATTTTTAGCAAGTCTTCAAAGTCGATTAATCGGCCATTGCTTTATTTCCCTTTTCATGGGTCTTAACATTCCGTCCTCTTTTTATCCTAACATCTTCTTTCTCTTGAGCAGCCATGATGTATTTATAAATATAAACTTTTACTTTACCTATTTCTAAGTAGAGGAATTAGCAATATTTTATCCTTATGGGTTTTCGGCCATAATTTTGCGGTTTCCTGGCACTTTAGGCTGCCAAGGTTAAATTTGGCCCTTCTTTGGTTCTTAAAGTACCCATCTTTATAATTTAATAGCCTATTAAGCACGATGAAGCTGGTGAATTAACATATTTTCAATCAATTCTTCAGTTTGGGGTTTTGGGGTTTTGGGGTTTTGGGGTTTTGGGGTTTTGGGGTTTTGGGG